ATTTTACTTCCTATACATGAAAAAAATCATACAGAATCATATTGAAATATAACATTCACTTACACCAAGATATTCACCACGAAGACCAATATAATAAATACGAGTTGTTTCATCACCGAAATTCGAAGGAAAATATAAAGATAAATGTGTTACACGTGAGAAATGTGATGGACTAAAATAGATATTTGATCCAAAATTTTTTCAAAAAATCAAGATATTTACTTGACTTGATAAGCTAATGTACCCGATGGATCATATGTAAGTGAAATTTCTTGATGAGCTTTTCCACGTGTATTATCAAAACGTAATTCAGGTAAATTACTCTATCTATTCATATGTATATATATATAAATCATCACTCCTACTTTATTGAAATAATTTATCCACATACAATTTAACTGTATTCGGATGTGATGGACCATTTTCACCAATAACACATAGACCAGTTATTTTCACAGCACCATTAAATGGTATACTGAAAAGTAATTCTTGTTCATCATCACTTTCAACTACCTTTCAAAAAAAAACACGTATTCATAGTATTTTATTTGAATAAATCAAATACAAAATATACTTTTGATCGACCAAGTTGTTCTTCCCATGCTCGAAATACATCTTTACCTGAATCATCATGTTTTTCATTATAACATTGTAAATTATATTTATCAATTTTTGTATACAAATTCCATTAACCAACATTGGTTTCATCAACATGTTGACATGTATGTGAACATGAATGTTGCATAATTTATCTGAACACAATAAAGAAAAATAATTCCTTTCTTTTTATGATATTTTTTATGGAACGATTTATTTTATATCATCAAGAAACGAAATTACATAATGCACAGAGGAACAAAACAACAACATTGTTTTATGTACGTCCTTGATGTTTTTTTTGATGAAGTAACATACTATTTCCATCTCGTCGTCGTTTAGTCATTGGATTTCTTGGATCATAAACAGTTAATAATTCAGCATTCGTATAAATATCTTGAACATTATCTAATAATTCTTGAAATACAAAAGTATGTTTTAAAAATGGTGTTTGAACTTTATCAGCTATTTGTTCTGATTGTGTTACATTTAAAGGTTTACTAATTTGTTCATCTTTAGCAGTATGAACTTTTACACGAAATCTTTCTAATAAATTTACGATTTTGTTGATGAAATATCTTTTTGATTATCATCATCATCATCATCAATACCAAGTGGAAGTGTTTTTTTCTTTTCTTGCTGAGCTAATTTTTTTGCATTAAATTTTTGTCGTACTCGATCAAGTTCTTCTTTATCAAAATCTACATCACTTTTTTCTTTTATTTTAAAATTTTGTTTTTCTATAGATAATTCTTCATCACTTTCTTCATTATTTTCATTTAATTCAGCTGTATTTTTACTTAATGTTGAATCATTAGTTAAATCATGTGCACTTTTTCCCGTTCCTTTTTGTTTGAATGTCTATAAAACTATTAAATTAAGAAACGAAAAAACAAAAAAAGACAAATGAAATATATCTATACCATTGAAATTTTTGTTATTTCTTCTTCATCTTCTTCAGCTTCATTTCCAAATGAAAGAAGACCATAATTTCTAATAATAAAAAAACAAAAACAAAGAATTTCAAATTCTTGTTTTAACTTCATAGAAAAATTCTACCTGATTGCTTTAGCTTGTACAGTTTCTTTCGATTTTTTATTTATTTCATCATTATCATCATCAATCATTTGTGATTTAGCTCGAGGTCGAGATACTATATTATCAAATGGATTTGATATAATCTATATACATATAAAATATAATCTTTTAAAACTATAAATTTTTCTCTCATTTTTTTACTTCTGCTTTAATTATTTATGTTTATGTACTGGTATTTCACCAATAATTTCTCCTTCACCTAATTTCAACATATTAAATAATGTATTACCAACAACTTCGCCAAATGAGGTCATGACAAATCTCAAATTGGTACCAGTTTTCACTAAAT